CTGCCCAAAAAACAATTAAAGAGGTAGCAGAGTACCCCAGTCAGTAGGTAGAAATAGCAATCAGAAGTGGGTTTGAACCCAAGCTTCTGTCTCCTAACTGGATGAACTTGACTTTGTATGACTGTTTTCATATTTATAGAAAGGTTCTCCTCTTCATTGTGTGGAATTTTCATGAAGGTCTTATGAGCTGTGTCTAAAATAATAGTGAAAGTACAGTACAAATTCAGTAAATTAACTCCATTAGCAAGATTGGATTGTCACTATGCACTAACAATTAATTTTTTTTCAAGTCTGCAGGATTAAATATTTTTACCAACTCAAAAATCCATAAACCACGTTTGTGTCACATGCCTCAGTTATATTCAAGAATGCCTATGCCTATGGCTTTAGGAGGTAAGGGTGTGATTTATTTGCCTGCTAGAATAATAAAAGAAAAATTATGCTTTATTGTGTTGGGTTGAGATTAAAAGCTATTTTTCTAAGTATTAGATCTTGCCACTGCAGAAACTTCTTGGCAAGTTATCATCAAATAACATTTTTCTTTCAAAAATATAATTTTTGAGTGATTATTGTTATTCTCTCTCTGGCATCAAAATTGGCTACATTTTTGTCCTAGCCTTCAATAGTCTTGATACTTCAAATTCACCCTGTGTGCTATGGATTCACTCCTTGAATTAGTCAAAATAAGATAGATTATATTGCAATAACAAACAAACCCCTGCATCTCAGAAGCTAAGCATAACAGTTTAGTTTTTGCTCACACAAAACCTATTTGAGAGTCTAGCAGCTAGCTCTCCAGAACAACTCCCTGCCAAAGAGTGAGTCAAGGATAACCAGTCTGCTTTCCTCTGGTTACTCTACCATCTCCAATGTGCCTTTCTTCATGACCAAGGAAAAGAAGGAGCAGAACTGCACTTGGCTTTTATGGCCAGGAGTAGAGATGGCTTATACCCCTTCTGACCATGATCCTCCCCTACCTGCAAGGGGGGCAGAGAAATGGGGAGGATCATGTGTATATTAACTGTCTTTGTCATATTTTTTCCAATGGAAATCAAAGTGATTTTTGCTATATTGAGCAAAATAAAATAATTCAACTTTTGGCAGGCATA